AATTTTTACTTTTTTGTGACATGGGTCGAGTTATTTTAAGTCGGCATGGAGTTTTTTTGGTCCAGACTTTTGCCAGTAAGTATAAAAAAACCTATGTTCGCGTCACATTTTCCGAAAGTTTTTATTTTCTATTTGGTCCGTGTGAAGTTCTGTTGGGGGAGAACAAATCGTTCCTGTCCCTAGAACTTCAGCTTATGACAGGAGCGTGATGCAAACAATGGAACCAGTGGATATTTGGGCTTATTCGGACGTTCGGATGAATTCATAGTTAGTTCGAAAAAATGCATAAACCTCACATGTTTCCTTTTTATCACAATTAGTAATTCGTGTTGGAATAACGCACACCAATCCATTGACTTTCAAGAGGAGAAACGCTCCAGCTGGGTAGCATGGGTCGTGAATTCGATCAAGGCTGACGGTGGGTATCAACATAAGCACACATAGATCCAGAAAGCCCTGTTGCGAACTTATAGCCTTGAAGGCCATCTAGGACTGGCACCACGCATATGAACGCACACTGCGGATCAGGTATTTATTTCTGTAACTGTAGGCAAATGCCCATCCGCGGACTTTCCGACGTAGGCATCTGCACTTTATACGCACGTTTTTGTGTCAGGTCTTCGTCCCTACAGAGGTCCACGGGGTAGAAGTACCGGATCAAAAAAGGCACGACTGGCATTACTGGAGATTCACACCCATACTAATGGCATTGTATCTGTCCGGTTTATAATACTCCTGATGAAGAATCCGATGCAGTGCCTGATCAATACCGACTTGTATGAGTCCTAAATGACACCCTTCTTACATAGAAGAAGACCCTAAACACAAACGCAAGTCGAGGTCAAAATCATTGAGGAATTTCAAAAAACTTTGTAGGTATCAAAAGCTATCATTTGTTTTCAGTAGAACATTTGGAGACAAGACTGTCTTTAGAGGCCCTATATGGCTTTGAATTATAACAATAACCTACCTTTTCATTTTCAGTAACCGAACTTTCCGTTTTTTTATAAAATTCCGCCAATATAAGGTCGAATTTCCATCAATAGGCATCAGCTGCCTGAGCAGCATGAGGTTATGTTGATGGATTTGAATCAACACATTGAAACAAATATAGGTTTTTTCAATTTGATTTTTTTTTTCACTATCAACACAAGTAATTATTTATTTATACTCGCTAACCAAAAATTAAACGTTTGACCACAAATTATGTACGTACGACAGTTGAGTGAGGAGAATAGATATTTAGGCAACTCTACAAGACAGTTTTGTCTATTTGGAAATGCAATCCACTGCCAAACGAGAAGATATTTCTGTGCATTTTCCCCCATAATGCATAGGTAGCCGCTTTTATTTAGCGGTTTGTGCATTCAAAAACTGA